CCAGTCGGATTCCGCATGAATTAAGCGCGCTCGGGAACGACAGTTCAGCGCAGATGCTGGGGTTGCCTCTTATTCAAAAACCATGCTGCTGCCCGTAAAGTCTTCAAAGCACCGCCGCCAAGGGGTATATCTACCCAGGGCTCCTTCCGCCTGCTAATTTGCCTTCTCGGTGCTGGAACCGCTGTGCATAATGGCTTCAGGGTGCCCTCGACCATCTCATAACGCGCTGCGAGGAACTGGAACAGGGGCTTTGCAGCCTTAAAGGAGAACAAGCGGCAAAGATATCAGTCTGACCCCCAGTCCTATAAGCAGCAAAAGCAGCAAACAGACAGGCCAAGCAGAAACATCTCACCGACACGGAGGCAATTGGCTTCACCTAATTGAGTCTATGTTGGCTGGCCTTGTGCATGCGCCTAATGCTGCGGTTTGTCTCGTTTTTTGGGGACGTGCTCTGCTTGAACAAACTAAACAAGATAAATATTCTGGTGATATCATGGGCGTCATTTATGCACTTTTTATCTTCGCCTTCAGCGGGAAGCGGCGGAGCTCATGGCTCGCTGCAAGGCCACNGTCATTTATGCACTTTTTATCTTCGCCTTCAGCGGGAAGCGGCGGAGCTCATGGCTCGCTGCAAGGCCACACGGGCAGCTTTCGAAGCGGAAATTCGCTCGAGGAATGCGAGAGAAGAAGCGGCGGCGGAGAAGCTCGAGGAACTCGTTAAGAATTTGGACATGAAAATTGAGAGTGAAATCGCGGCGCGTCACCAACAAGTTTCGTCGATCAAAAGGGAAATTGGCATGCTTCTCAGGTGGGACGGACAAATCACAACAGAAAATCTTATTGATGTCTAGCTCCATGCTGGCTTGCTGTTTTGAAGGCAGACGGCTGCTGCCCTATCTCTTTTATTACACGAATATGTGCGATGCTTTTCAGGGGCGACCAACCACGAGAGCAGTTCCATTCGTTCGTTAAGGAAGAACTTGAGGAGCTGCGTGCGGGCCTTGCAGCTGCCACCCGCGCTCGTGAGGAGGCGGACGACGAGATTCTGCAGGTGCTTCTAAAAAGCCCCTTAGCAGGTTGCCCTGACTCTGCGCTCCTTTGCCTGTTTAGTTGCATTTGGCATCCTCCTCCATCAACAAACTAACTGCTCCACGCAGGATCAACAGGTGTCCATTGATTTGAAGCAACGATAAGAGCTGTTGAATTGCTTGTGCAGGCCATAAACGAATACACTACTGCTCTCCAGAGGGGCCTGCAGAGTATCGGAGGACTGACCAATGGTACATCCGCGGCATAAACATTCTCCTGGCTGTGGTGTGGCCATTTTTCTTCACATCCGTTCTGTGACTCATTGGCTCGCCGCGGCATAGACATTCTCCTGGCTGTGGTGTGGCCATTTTTCTTCACATCCATTCTGTGACGCATTGGCTCAGAATGTGACGTGAATGACAATTGATTTTTTTTGTTTGCGCCTGAAAATATTTGTAGCTGGTGGACATTCACCTAGCGTTCCCACATGCAACCGATTCTGCTTGTAGCTGCGCAAGGATGTTTGGCGGTCACTAGTCCGTAACGGGATTTATTACTCCATATGGAACTGGTCCCTCAATATGCACAGCGATCTAACCGATTCGTAGGGTGCCCTGCGGTGGCTTCGTCTCTCTAGTCTGGTGGGTATCCCAGCGAAACGCCCAATTTCAAAGCTACTATGCCGTATTCATGCTCTGTTTGGTTGGCTGTTCCTACGCATGCACTCACGAGCTAGAGCAGAGAAAAGATAAGGACAGAAAATACACGCCTATTCTCGTTCAAGCTGGCAGCTACTCTCCCTAGAAGTATGAAGAGTTGCAGAGACTCAGCACTGCAGCATGCGAACGCTACCTATGCTGCTGTAGCAGCCTAGGCAGGACAATGCTTGCTGATGACAGTGCTTCTTGTAACTGCAAGCGTGACTGAAGTGGAGCCCGTGGAGTCGGCGACAAAGTAAATAAACCCAGAGTTCTAGTGTTGATCATACGCAGCGCTGCGATAAGACGCATAGAGCAGGCTTAAGTGTGTATGATGCAACAAACATACGAGGATTGGCAGATGCGTCGACCCAGTCCTTTACAGCAAATCACCCCGAATGAAGAAGGATAAGCATTGGCAGGCGGAATTATTTTGTAATTATCAAAAGCAAGGGAATGGAAAACCCTGAATGCTCCTCCCCGAAGNATGCAGCAAAGTCGTCCAAGCGTAACACATGGAAACGAGAATGCGGACACAGCTCACATCACACCATGATAGTCCCTCGCGAACACCGTAGGGAATATGATGACTGGAGAATATGCTTGTCTTGCATATTCACCGATGGTAGGTTAGGCTACGAACATCTTGGAATTGCGGCCTGTGGGGCGGATAAGCACAGATGTGCAGACGGGCGCTGTGCCCACCAAACGGCGGTAGTAGTGGCATTTATCAAGGGATATATCGAAGTTTGTTTGCCAAATGTTCAATGTTAATGCGATCCTAGGGCAAATGCTGTAAACCTCTACAAGGCCAGATGCATTTCGAGCGGCGTACGGATGCCTCATCGTCGTCGGGCCCCGGGTCCCCGTGCGGTGACCCCGTACAAATGTGCAACTTCAGGTTTCGACAAAAACACTATCTTCTGCTGAAGGGCATGCCTTCCATTGCACATAGAATGCATATATTCGTCCCTCAGGAGATAAGCGCTCTCCAGTTTTGTATTTTTTCGCGCAACACGCAGCTGCTCAGGTGTGCAGGCATCATCAGGCGAAATCACATCACCTGTGGAAATGAGCTCCAGGCTGGCGTTCCCTCTTGCTTCCTGAAGCCTGTAGCTGGCCACACATTTGCTTAGCGCATTTGAATTGCAGTTGCAGGTGATTTCCCGCAGAAGCACAGGCGTTGTTGACAGCCGTGTTAACCTGTCGTGGAGAAAGCCGTGCTATTTTCGGTCCTTCGCAACGTTCTAACCTCCACTAGAGTACCTCTCTACAGGGTCAGCTTAGTAAGGTAAAGTACGCGAAGGCATAGAATTCCATGGGGTCCCAGACAATCTAGGTTGTCGGTTGCCCCGCGATCTTCATAAAAAAATTCCGATCCCGGATACCTGGCGACCCGAGGCCTGTTGAAAAGAGAGAGAGAGCAGCTTGTATTCAGATCAAGTGGCCACTGCACAGGATAAAAAACGCGAACGCACAGAGGACAAACTTAAGAGTGTACTTGTTCTTGCTTGCCGCACAATGCCTCCTTCCGTATGAGGAAGAGAGCTGGAGGTAAAATGCTGCGGCTTGAGTCGTTATCGCGCCGCCCGTAGAGGAAGCTTTTTTGCAGTTGAATTATTTGGCCCCAGTTGCAGTGCCCCTTGGACCACACGCAACAATCCCTTGAAAGTGGAATGCTCGACTTACTGTGGTAGTTGCCGAGACAAACCAGTGGGCAAAGTTCTCTCATTTGCGTCGGTCTCTACGGAAATGCATTGTTACCCAGACGTGTGCGACAAGCCACAGGCCTGCTGGGTGAATATAAACGGTTTTTCCAGGCCACCCAGAGTTTCCTCCGCCAGAACCCGTTATCGCGGAGGCCACCCGGACAGCTTTCGGGTACCCAGTTGGGATCATGGGCCTTCCACGCACTGGCGAAGAAGAAGCCCAATACTGCAGGATCAGATGCGCTGCGAACCACCTCATGGCTACCATGGAGAAAGGCCTCTTCAGCCGCTTTCGGTAAGCCTTGAAGCCAATCCAGTTGCTGCAGGCGGGCTGTAGTCGTACCGCCTGAATGCACCTAGACAGCAGCAACCAGGCAAATGCTGATTGTGTTTCTGCAGCCGACCGCGCAAGATGGTGTTGCTCAAGTCCCACAGTACGTACCAGACGATGGTATGCGCCTACCCCCTCAAGTCGAAACACTAGAACATCAGCTTGCAGCCTTGCGCGAATCAAATAGGACGCTTTCTCGCGACATCGCCGANCAAAATATGCATGCATCGGGTTTATGCGCCTCCATTAAAAATGTCTACAGCACAGGAACTTTCGGCAGTGCGAAAACAATACATGCAGCAGACGGCTGAAGTTGCGAAGCTGTCTGAGCAGTATGGGGCGATTCGAGCTTCGTCGGATTCAGCTGCAATTGAGCTTCAAACAGCTCGGAAGCAGCTCTCTATGGCGAAAGCGGAGGCCGAACTGGCAATGAGCGACCGCATTGATCTGATGAAGGAAAACAGTCACCTGAGGCAAGAATTCACCCAGGCTATGGTACGGTTACAAACTCCCTCAAGCAAACGGGAAGCCTCACAACCCAACTTGGAGCTAATACGGCAGCCCACTTAGCGTGGAACATATAGTTACTGGGGTTGTGCGTTCCGTTATTAGTGCTTCGCGTTGTGCTGCGCGATAGGGATACCTGTTCAAGCTATGCTGGACCTCTGACACCTTCCTTTTGTACAGGCCCACATTGCATCCCTGCAGCAAGATCTGGGGAAACTATGTGCTGTTCAAAAGGATTTTGAGCAAGCCCACGCCTCTCTGGAGCGCTGCAGGCAGATGCATGCTGTCGACAGGGAGCAGATCCTGCGCCTAGAGGAAGAACTTAAGGCCTACGCTGAGAAGGAAAAGCAATTGCTGCTTATACAGGTGCTGCTACCACGATTTGACTATAAGCTGACGGGCCAAGCAACGTTCTACTAATGGGTCTTCGTAAGAGTTGATGTGTATGTATCTTCGGGGGGAGTAATTGCACAGTAAAACCACCTCTATGTTTCTTCAGAGGGAGGCAGAACTTGCGAAACGGCAAAGCGCCAAGCTTCTGAAGGAGCTACAGGAAGCTCAGCAGGCACTAACAGCATTCCAAGATGTCTCTGAAAGGAACTGCTGGGTCAGTAGGTTCGATGAGGTTGCAGTAGTAGCCACGACAGCCAAGGGTTGACTATCGTCTGCCGAAGCTGTTTACATGGGTTTACTGGAGTGATATCGTGCCTTATTTTTCGAAGCTCGAGGATGAACGTAAGAGACTTTTGGCGTTTGAGGTCGAATGCGACCGGATGCGGGCGCAATTGCTTCTCGACGAAACTCGAATCAAAGAGATAAGTGTGAGACAGTGCCCGTTTATAATCTCGGCGGGGAGAATCATTCGTGCAAGATCATGTACAGCTAAAAGCATTCAGACGTACCTCAACAGAACAATATACTCTGGAGCTCCCTTAAAGAAAATTGTAAATACTTTCCGCCATGCTGAAGGATCTGTTGCGCGTGGCCATCTCAGGAAAAGCAGGCAGAAACAATGCTTCAACTGAACACGACGCTGGCGGATGAGAAAGCTCTCAGGAACGAGCTAGAGAAGCAGGCAAATGAGATCGCCATGCTTGCGACTGACCTTAGATCAGTGAGAACTGATCTGCCAGTCAATGCTGCAAAGTTGTGAACCTGCTCAAACCACAACCAGAAGAGTGCAAGAATCTTGAATTAGCGACACACGTATTGGTCGGGCTTCCTTTACCTATGGAATTCATCTGCTTCTGGCCGTTTTACTGCGCAAGGCTAACCAGCGGGATGCACAGAAAGCTGAGCAGCTACGGATAGCTATTGAAGAGGCGCGGCGCTTTGAATTCGAGGCCCAGCGGCGCCTTGATGATGTTGCTCGTCTAGAAGCTGAAAATGCCAAGATAGCAAAGGAGCTCGAATGCTACTCGAAAAAGCACTTCGAGGATCTTACGGAGTCTTTAGCAGAGAAACAGAAGCTTAAAGTGGAGCTGGATGCAGCAGCGGATTACAGTAGTCGGTTATCTGTGGAGCTTCAACTGGTGAAGGAGTCAAACTGGAAGCAGAAAGAAGAACTAAGGAGCTCACGTGAGGAAGTCACCGTGCTCTCTAGCAAAGTGCAAGAGCTGACGCGCGAGGCAGAGATAATAAAAGTAAGACAGGGGCTGCGAATGGCCAGGGTATTTGAGTTCAAACGCGATGTAATACTTGAAGATTGGCGACAACTACAGGGAGCACATGGGTTCGCTCCCGGTCGCAAATCCCTTGCTGTGCAGGAGTCGCACCAATTGCAGACTGCCGAATTCGAAGCGACTATTGCAACGATGGAACAGCAGTCGAAAAACCAAGAAACCGCCCTCCTGAGGACGCAAACCCTTAACGAAGAAGTAGGAGTCTCACAGCTACTCTCAATAGTGTTCTACGTAGCTCTATGCTGGCAGGTGTCAATTTGGTGCCGCTTACATCGGCGCTGCTACTGCGTGAGAAAACGCACAAGCAACGGGCATCAACGGTAGCTTTGCGTAGTTTGCTCACTAGCACGTAAACACGATAGTGTGAGGTAGGTGGTTTGGCTACATACGTGCAGCTAGAAGCTACTTTGGAGGCACTCAGGCAGGAGTTGATGCACAAAGAATCGAGTGAAAAAGAGGCACTGAATCGGATGAAGATACGGCTTCAAGAAGCACAACAACAGCACGAGACTGCAGTGACAAAGAAGAAACAGTTGCGAACTCAGCTTATGGAGGCTACAAGAGCACTACACCTCACTCGTGTGCGAAACGAAGAGGTATGCGAGCAACAGCTTCTGCCATTCGGGGCCATTTGGGTACTTCCTATGTCGC